GGCCTTGTAAGGCCCGGCCGGATTACAAGAGACCAATATTGTCAGGCAGTCTTGCATTGCTATGATTACGAACCACCAGGGTGATGTAAGAGCCGGAATATATGGCTAGGCCCATGTGGCTATCAAGAGCATGCGTGCAATAATATTATAGTGACTGTTGTATGGTCCACTGGGATCACATTTCTTGCTAGACATTGCCAGACCGACAAACTATCATATGCCATGCAACCAAAAGACTAATCAATCCACTCATACCGGTTGGCTTCCGTGACAGACCAGTCACCCACAGATAATCCAATTGCGAATACTATTATGGCATATTATTTATCAGGTGTAGTACATTACATAGCAGGAGAAACACATAGGTACGGAAAAACAGTGAGGCCACTGACTGCAGAGCTGCATCAATGACAATGGGATGACATATCTTTACGTTAGTGAACTGCCTGGCACACAACATGTTGAAAAGCAAGAGATTGGAGTCCTCTTGAATTGTATATCAGACAACCAGGTTCAGCATAGAAATCACCTCAGACTCATCTGAGCAGGGAGCTAACATCTGCAAACAATGTTTTCTTCTGGTAGAAACCTGGTTTCTACATTGCACTCTGTAGAACCCTGTAATCTATATAGTACTTTGTAGATAGCACGATCTACGTAGGTCTACATAGGACTCTGTAGAAATTGCATATCTACGGCAGTGAGGCGGCTGATGGGGTCACTCAATATGGCAATCCGCCATGTGACCCATCACCATGGTCCATGTGGTCCATGTGGTTTCGGTTTGATCAGAAATATTGAGAATGAACTGATAGTACTACATTTTCACTTCATAGAACGGCTGTTTCTACATAGCACTCAGTAGGTCCTCATAGTCTCAGTAGGTCCTCATAGTCACAGTCGTCTTATCAGATGTTCAGGCTGATAGTCTCACATAGGAAGCTCCGGTGCCATATGGTCGACAGCGCCATGGGCAATAAAGTGCTGCCTCTGACCCTGAGTCAGACAGCACATCTTCGTTCTGCTCCCTGCCCACTGCCATCAAGCAGGACTTCGTAAGCAGTCCCTTCCGTATAACACGTTGGGTGGATACTAAGGTAAGTCACGGATTGACATATCTAGTTACCACTACCATAGCTAACACACCTGCCAGCTACTCCACATACCAAGACTGTGTGGCGCATGCTTAGTGGAAGGCGGTAGTAGTTTTATATCTTGCTAAGGTTCCGTGCCACGTTTGGCTTGTATCTATGGCACAGGGGACTACACACCATAGTTTGCACAGTGGTAGTCACGATGGCGCAACTTCTATAGAATGCTTAGAGTACAGCTAGCTTGTATGTTTGTACGCAGAGGCATGTAGTAGTATGGTTTTGCTAGTCACTTACAGCTTGTAATTACAATCATTATTATCATCAATGAGAATGCAAATTTAATTTCTGCGCTGTGAGACCCAAAGAATCTGATAATGATGATCAATTGATGGATAGGCAGTGTCTACCGGTGCTATGGAGCCTATGAGCCTCGCGGTCTATGGTGCTACATAGCACTTTGCAAGATCAGGCGGATCTACATAGCACTACATAATCGGGGGGTAGTCTATCGCTCTATGCGGTCTACAGGACCTACATAGAGCTATGTAGGTTTGGGCATTTTTCCTGATGAACAGCGAGGAACGACAAGAACCATGTATTAGTTTATGTCGAAAGTACCAAAGAGGCTCTGCCACATACTGGTTACACTGGCTGATGGGTTTCTCGTGCTATATAAGGTGACCTTGAGTGCCATGCCAGGGCTCGTGAATATGTGCCGGAAATCCTGTCAAATTGAGTATCATGAAAGCTGTGCACCAAGACAGGGACACTCACATGCACCAAGGCACTTCGAAGCAGGCCTTTGAGGATGTCATCCGGATCATAGTTCTACTGGTTATAAAGAAACTCCACAGTATTGGTGCCCATGTCCTCATTGCTTTCCTATGAGTTTAGTAAAGGAAATGATTAGTTGACAATAATACGCGATGAATTATCACGCACCAGATGGGGAATGAGCTGTGAGTGGATTAGCAACATTTTTATATGCTGCAGGAGGGCTGGAATGCTAGATCCGAGGCGAGGACAGGCTGACTAACTGGCGTACTGATCGAGACCTGCCTATTGTCACGACCTTGCCTCGAAGCCGCAATCTGTCTTTTCAGTCATAGTACACCCTCTTGTAAGGACTACGA